TAGCACAGCTGGGATGGGGTCACCCTGGCATCCAGGATGGTCTACTGTCTGCTGAGTGGTCTGTAAGCTCATCCTCACCTAAGCAATCCAAGCTCCCTACAACTGGTTTTGCATCTGCCCATTCCCACCTCCCTGCAACCACAGTCTCCCACAGAGCCCCTCCTGTTCCAGTACAGGTCAGCTCCTCTCGAGACTGTGGGCTCCTTGAGGCAGGGGCTGGGGATCAGCCTGACTCAGGGAAGGGAGTTTCAAGAATAAATGCCAGCAGGCACAGCACTCAGCAAGCAAGCGGCATCCTGCAGAGCCTGGAAGCCACTGGGACAGCAAGGACAAGTCAGCACAGAGTTAAGAGGAGGCCACATGGGATTCCTCAAACTTTGCCTCCAGTTACACTGAAGGCCTTGTGATCTGCATATTAATTAAGCTTTTGATGGGAACAAACAGGAGGGGGTAGTAAAAAGTGTCTTTTGGCCATCAGCCTCCAAGATGGGAGACTACTGGCCTCTAGATCCACAGCCAAACTTCGCAGCTCAGGCCAGGCTAAGTTCTGCTCACACAAGGGTGACAACATAGAAAGGGAGGTGGAGGGGGAGAAAGCATTTGACATCATGGGAAGATGCCACTCGGTACACCTGCATCCCATACTGGTGTGCCTGGCCCTGAGTCCCAGTTTCCTGCTAATGTGCACCAGAGCTGACTCAATTACTCGGATCCTTACACCCAGGTGGGGCACCTGAACTGAGTTCCCAGCCCCTGGGTTCAGCTTGGCCTAGGCCTAATTCCCACAGGCACTTGGGAAATAGACCAGCACATGGGATATCTCTGTCTTTGTCTCAGTCCCTCAAATAAATACTTTTATAACTTTTCTGAAGGAAGGTTTCTTTCACAGCTGCTACACTGTAAGAGTTACATTTGACTGCGTGCACACCAGTGCCTCCTTGGGGGCCACGTGGTGGGAGCCCAGGAAAACACCTCTGCTAAGATGGAAGGGTTCTATTGCATGGACAGTGGTCATTCATCTCTGCAGCTGGCCATGGCCCTTCCAGCTAATTGTGTCGCAACATGGGACAAGAATCTTAAAAATGGCCACGCCCTGTGACTCACTCATGACTCACTCACAGAACCCACGCATGCAGGGAAGTAACAAACACAGGCAGTTCTTCACAAATGTGTTGATCATATGTGATGAACATAATAGCAAAGCTTGGTTAAAAAGATCTTCGTATACGGTCATGTCCTCAAAATGTGAAATGTCTGGAATATTAACTGATAATGTTTAACCTGTATGTGAAATGTGTGAAACATTGGTGAAATGTAATTATGTGTAACTTAGAGTAAGAAGCAGGACTTGTTTGTAAGGCTTGTAAGGTGTGTAAAACAAGACTGTGTCACACTCCCTCCCCCCTCCCCGATCTGTAAAGAGGAGATACGAGAGAAGCTGAAGAAGAGACGGAGCCCCAGTGGGCATCAAAGGGGCTCAGCTGAGCAGGCAGATTGCTCTCAACTAGCTCACTGAGGAACAAGGCTCAGCCGAAGAGAGCGAAGAGAGCGTGGCACTGCTCTAATGCCACCCTCAGCTGGGAGGTGACCACCTCTCCCTCATCCTTCCCTGGTACTGCCTCCAGGGACCATAAAGTCAGTAAGTGCGATGACCTCAGGTCGTGCCCAAGGACCTGAGACTGAGAGGTTCAGGGACCTTCAGGTAGGAGGGTGATCAGAGACTTGGTACTGAATGTGAAAGTGTGAATTAGTGTGTGAGTTAGGTGACCAAGTGGAGTTTGAATTAATGTGTTATTTGTATAAGAAGCATTGGGGAGCAGGTCAGGCAAGTCTCTAAACTGTGCTGGAAGGTAACAGAACTGCTCATGACCTCACATCACAACTTTTAGGAGAGGAAAAGCAGTGAAAAACCTGAACGCTCACCAATAGGCAGGCTGTTAAATAACATGTTGACCAACAGTATTAGGGATCTTCCAAAAGTGTGTGAAAATGGAATCCAAAGGTAAGGTTTGTTTGGTGCCAAAAAGAAAAAAGCCTCAAATCCATACCTATGAGGAATCTTAGTCAAGTTCATGAAAAACACATCTTATGAGAAAAGTGCATGAATTGCAAACATTTTAAGCACCAAAATAAATCTATCTTATAACTTCATTTTCCCATGAACTTTCTGAGCTTTCCCTACATAGCATTTTCCATGTTCCATATACCTCACTGAGGATTTTATGTATACTAACTATGTCATCTCATGTCAGCCCATTGTTTGATGGAGCATGGACACAGCTCGACTTCCCCTTCCACAGGCCCTCTGACCCAGGGTCTGGGCCTAATCCTGTCCATGGAGGTGGATGTGACTGCTCCAGGAGGCAGTGGGTCCTGGGAGGGATGGGGGTGGGTACTTCCCAGCACCCCTGTGCATTGAGGTTGCCTCTTTGGTGCCTACAAGTCTTGGAGCTTTCTTTCTGTTCCTGGATCAGAGGGCTCCAAGGCACACATCAGAGACTGCATACATCCTTCCTCAGGTCTTGATAGAGAATGCTCACACAGCCTAGTGTTGCTTTGTCTGTCCCCACCAGGTGGCCCAGCCACTGTGGTCCTCTTAGGCCCTGCCTGACAGCAGGGATGAGAGATGTGGCATAGGCCTCACACAGAAGGGCAGTCCCATGCGTGCAACCATCCTGCAATGCTTACAGTCACTTGGGTCTGCCAACCACTTGAGCAACGTCATTTTGGAGAGATGGCTCCCAGCCCAGATCCAGGTTAAAATCTGCAATTGTTTTTGTGCAAAAGTTGCATGTCACCAAACTGCCCCAGCCATAGTGAACCCACTGTAAGACAAGACCACTCTCCCCCATCCTGCAGCCTGCACTTCCCCTCCCAGTGTCCTGTGGGGGACCCTCTCCATTGCCTCAGGCTTCCACCTGCAGCCACCCAGGGCTGGGGTACTGTGAAGATTATACACACACAAAGCTCCCAGCACAGCGCTAATGCAGTGGTAGGGACAGCAAGCCTTGGTTTCTGGACCCCTCTTGTGACAGAGGCATAAAGGGAGAGGCCCTGGTGGGCCCTCAGCCCTGGTTTTGACTCCCTGGGAAATCCAGCTTGGTGCTTGCTGCAGGCTGAGCTCCTGGCCCAGGGGCTGAGGACTCAGAGGCAGGAGGGGCTGGGCACACTTGGGCTGGGCCCACCCTGTGCCCCAGGTGGTCCCCTGACCCAGCGCAAGTACAGAACAAACCTGGCTGATTTTTAGTTGCTGCCTCCAGGGCTTCACTGACAGCACTGTGGTTACCTGACAGCCCAGGGTAGCTGCCAGTGAGCAGTGGGGTGTGTAGGGAGTTTGTGATGCCAGGTTTACGCCACTCAAGAGGACTTGCTCCAAGACAAGGATAGAGGGATATGAAGGCCCAAGCTCCAGGGTTGTACTCAAGCCTCTTATACTTCATGAGGCAGGCCTAAACAGCCCTCAGTTTTACCTGGGCAGGCACAAAGGTGGACCTCTAGATCCGCCTCCTTGCTATCTTGCTCCCTGACCCCTACCTGAAACCTGCCCACTTCCCCACCCTTGCTTCCCACCTGGCTCTGCACTTGGAAACAATGGACCAATTTTGCGTTCACCATTATGCCCTGGCAAACCAGCCCATGTACTTGGCTGTGGTCTGCTGGGCGACAGGACTAGTCTGGCAACAGCAGCTCTCACAGCGCAGAGCTGGAAGTCAACGAGATGTTGCAGGTGCAGGGACTGCACTTCACGAGCACTGGCCAGCTATCAGCTCCCTAGGATCAGCCCAGAGCTACAGGCCAGCCATTCCCCTGGCTTCTCTCGTCCTCCCTCCAGGCTCCAACTGCTTCTGATCTCAGAGCTCCTGGAGAGGTTCCCCTGCACCTGTAGCTCAGTAAGCTCTCCTGAGGTAGCCAGCACAGAGCCAGCAGGCAGCCCGATGTCCGGGCATTCTGGCTTCACAGACCTTGCACAGCACCCCTCATTTCTCCTCACAGGAACTCTGGGCTAGAGAAGCAAGCTGCAAATGCTCCTTGGAGGTGCAACTTTCAATTTAATTAAATTATACTCAGAACTGCCTCATTGTACCACACTGATGAGGGCAGTCCCTGCCCTTGAGCTGCCTTGGCCGGTATACTGTGCCCCGGCCACATGCAGGTCCTGGATCCTGGGCCCTGATGCTCCTGAGTGACACCAGCTGCCTCCCCCCAAAACTTCCCCTCCCACCTCTGTCCCTCCTTTTCATTCTACAGGAAAGAGGACTGAGGCCAGGAGGGGCAGTGGCCTGCTTGAGGGGGCAGGGACGTGAGCACAGAGACAAGAATAGGCCTTAGGCCTTGCAGTGTGACCCTACAAGCCCTGGCTCCTCCTTTCCAGGAGCTGGCACTATGCTGCCCTGCCCGACTAGAGCCTGTTCTTTTTCCTTCTTCCCTATCAAAGCCACTCCAGGGGCAAAGCCAGTGGGGAGGAATGCAGAGAACTGGCCTGCAGTGTTAAGGTCACAGCTGCCTTGCAATGTATGAAAGGAAGTTCCGCCTGCAAGATCTGGGTGGTGAAGCTGGTGGTGGGGGTGAGGAGAGGAGCAGCCAGGTGAGACCAGGACCGTGGGAGTAAGACAGAGCAGGTGTTAACCCCCCAGTTAGGCTGGGTCCAGCTTTTGGAGGTGGGAGCTAGTGGCCCCACCACACTCTGCTGTTGCTGCTGTTATAAGATTGATCACGATTTTTCAATCAATTTCAATTTTTGGCCCTCGCAGTCTCATTTTGAATCTGGGTAGCTCAGACCCTCCTCAGGTTCTCTTCTGTGAAACAGACATGATGACAGCAACTGCCCCAGAGTTGCCATGTAGTTGAACTCAGGCGCCCACATACACTAATGACCCCACTGAGGGTTGCTTGGTACCATTGGCAAAAGAATGAAATGGCAAGAGGTGACATAAAGACAGGCAACCAGGATGCCAAGAACTGTGCCCTAGATTACAGGCCCCTGCTCCTCCACCTCTTACCTTCCCGCAGTGGCTGTGTTTGCATCTGCAGCCGAATCTTGATGAGGTCCACAGGCCCGCCCAGCCCTACGGAGACCACGCCGGCCGCCATGCTGGCCAGGAGCAGATCAGACAGGCTGCGGGGAGGGCTGCTCCCAGGCTCCCTACAGCGGAGCTGGCCCAGGAACCTCTGTGTGTTACTGAAGACCCCAAACACTACCGAGTTGTAGACGGTGATGCTGACCAGGGGGAAGGACATGCCCTTGAAGAAGCCGGACACCTGTGAGGAGAGTCAGCGAGGAAGCCAGTGGGTGCCAGGGCTGTGGCCAGGCACACCTTCTCCACCCTCGTCCCTAGAACAACACCCGTGGGCTGGTGGAGAGACGCCCAGGGTGCGAGAGGACAGCAGGGGTGCTGCTGCTGTGATTGCCCAGGCCACAGACAGACTGACAGCAGTCTGTAGCATAAACCTAAACCCTGGGCCATGAAAGGCTCCTGGGTCATCTGCTGAGGCTTCCCCCAGACATGGCCATGGCCCACAGTGGCACTAGGGCAGGGAGGACAGCAGGCATGACACCAGGGCTCTGAAGGTGTGCACAGGGAGCTGCAGGCTGGGACAGGGTCCTGGCCCTCTGCATTCTCTGAGAAAAGCTCGGCGGCCTGAGGAAGACTGCAAAACTCCATGGCACCTGCTGGAGTGAGGACAACCACACAGGCAGAGGACGAAAAAGCACTTGGAACTCTGGAGGCCTTGGTACGGCTGTTGAGACACTGCCTGGGTGCCCACATCCACTGCCAGGTGGAATAGCTGGGTGTGAGTCTGGCTCCCTTTCCAATCCAAGCTTTCTGCTAATGTGTACACTTGGCGGGGGGCAACAGGGGATGTACTTTGGTCCCTGCTTCCCACAGAGAAGACCCAGATGGAGATCCTAGATCCTAGTTCCACCCTGACTTGATTCTGCCTGTTACAAGCATTTGGAGAACTAACAGGCAGAAAATTTGCCTATTTTCAAAATAAATAAAAATTGGGGGCTGGCACCATGGCATGACAGATTAAGCTTCTTTCTGTGGTGTCAGCAACCCACATGTATGTCAATTAGAGTCCCAGCTGCTCTACTTTCCAACCAGCTCCCTGCTTATGGCCTGGGAAAGTGGCAGAGGATGACTCAAATATTGGGACACTGCACCCACATAGGAGACCTGGAAGAAGTTTCTGGCTCCTGGCTTCGGACCAGCCCAGCTCTGGATGTAGAGTCAACCAGCAGATGCAGAATTTCTCTCTCTCTGTCTCTCCTCTTTCCATAACTTGACCTTCCAAACAAAAATAAATAGATCTTTAAAAATAAATGAAATTATTCAAATAAAACAAAATACTAGAAACTGATGCTGACACTGTAGGCTACATGCAGATGCATTGCCCCATCGTGTGTCCTGCAGCCTGCGTGCCAGAGGCAAGACTCCTTACACACACGTGTGAATGCCCTTGTCCTTTGCCCCACGCACCCCAGGATGGGCAGCTGGTGGGTGTTCTGGGTACTTGTCCTAAAGAGGAGATTCCATGGTGGCCTTTCAGGGCTCTGAGAGACTATGTAGCAGCACCCAGAGCACACAGTGCTGGTCTGCAGGGCTCACCCTGATTTCCAACAAGTGCAGAGAGACAAACCATGCCCTGGCATTGGGCTTGCTTCTTCTGAGGAAATTCCCAGGGACCCGCAGAAGCTAGGATGAGGCTTATACTAGGATGAGTGAAAACATGGGTCATCATGACGCAAACCACAGGGTGTGCATCCAAATATTTCTTTAAATCAGCTTACGTCCTTTTCAACCCCCAAAGAGTGGCCTCAGACTTCTGAAAACATGTGTGAATTCTCCAGAGGGCACCTGGCATGAGGTCCACATGAGAGTAGGTGCCTCTTTTGGTAGCTTCAGGGCCCAGAAGTGCTGCTCCCGCCCCATGTAGGTGAAGGCACACTTGTCTGCAAATGGTTTGCCTGCCGCTTGCTTTGTGTTGAAAAGCAGACAAGTCTCTTGCTCTGCGGAGGCATTTTCCAACCTGTGGTTCCCAATGCTTTGGGATTTTGCCTGGGAAACCACAGGAGGGATTTTCCAGCACATGGTATCATATGTTGGGGTAGATTCAGGTATAACATGTAGGCTTGAGATGTGGTATGAGGGCACAAGGGGAAATGAAGCCACAGCTAGTTGCAGGAATGAGTTTGGGGCTGTGGTCATGCCCCTAGTACCAGGGAGGTCCTAGCAGGCCCAAGCCCACCCACCCACACCCGAGGGACACTCACACTCTCCCTGCTGTACACGGTGCGGATGCAGTGGAGGGTGTTCTTGTAGCCCACACCAGCCTGCAGGCGGGTCTGCAGAGAGACACAAGGGAAATGAGAGCCCATTTGGGGAACACTTATCTCCCCATCACCCCCAAAGTTGCCCACAGACAGTAGGAGGTGGGGGTGCCAGTGCTGGTTCTGCTAGCGCTCCAACCTCACTGCACATGGCTTCCCTGTCACGCCCTGTCCAGGTGTGCTCAGCCTGAAGGTTGCAGACACGCTGCTGCTCGAGGACCAAGAGCTACCCTGTGGCTCCGTCCTGCCTGCTGTTTGTCGTTCTGCCCAGCCCGCCCCTCCTGGCAAGGACCTGCGCTGCTCCCCTCAAAACCACTGCCCTAGCCCTGGTCCCTTCACCGTCCACCTGGCCAGACCTCTCTCTATGCTAATGTGAAAGGAACCACAACCCTGCGTATAAAGTGCTCTATGGCCCTCCCACCAACATGAGAACACATGCCACGCTCTGCCTGTGCACACACGCCTGAGCCACTACCTCACACACATGCTGCCCTCTGTATTCACTCCCACCCCTGCCCAGACCCTGAGCAGCACGTCTCTCCTCCCTCCAGCCTTTGCCCTGGCTGTACACCACACTCCCCTCCCCCACAAGGCCCCTCCTGCAGTGCCTGCTCTCCTGTGGGCTGAGCTTAAATGCTGCAAGAGTCTCAACCTTGTGCCATGGTAGGGCTGTTGCTGGATTACTGCACGAGGACACAGCCACATGTGGTACTTTCTGCTTGTCACAGAGCTAAGCGCCGGCTGGTACAGTGGCTCCTCACCACCGGTTGCACTGGCTGCTCAAGGAATGGGACACCATGGACATGGCCTCCTCTCTCTGAGGCTCTGGCCAAGCCCCACTCGAGACAGGTGGAAAAGGCCCTGGAAGAACACACATTCCCGGTACCACACCCAGTATCACAAGAGTGACCTTCCATGAGGAGCTTGTCTACATTTTCCAAATTTTCTACTATAAACAGCTAGAGCAATTTTCACTATTTTCAGTTTGAAAATATCCTTAGTGTGTTCTGAATCATTTTCAGTGATCCTAGTAACAGCAGGGCTGAGAGTCTGAAAAGCATGCATCTCGGTATTCTGAAAGACAGACGGAGCCACAGGAAGCTCCAAACTGGTGAAGCAGCAAACTGGGCACTGAGCCCTCCCACTCTGCATCTGGACCAGAACCACTGTCTACCTTGGGCCTTCAGGATCCCCAGCTAGGACAAGGCAGTGGGTCAGGGCCTGTGGTGGAGAGGCGTGAGCCTCTTCTCTTGCTCCATCTGAGGCTGGGCTGAGATCCAATGCTCTTCTGGGGCCAGGTTCCCATTGAGAAGGTTGAGTGCCAATAGGAACTCCACCCAAGAGCCAAAACCTGGACCACAGGGTCATGCCAATACTATGGGGCACTGGCCAGCAAGACATGCCAAGCACCAGCATATAGCAGGTGTCAGCTGCACTTCTGGGCATCCTCCAAGAATTATCTTGCTGGCTTCACCCCAAGCCATGCCTTAAAGGCACCAACTCCTTCTTCTAATCAAGATAACAGACTCTCTGGTTTATTTTCCTGTTATTTCCAAGGTGGCTCCCAACAACATAAACTCATCTCATGCAGTTCTTCAGGCCAGAAATCCAGACACGGTTTTAACACCTGGAACAGTCCATGGGACTGCACCCACCAGAAGTCCCAGGAGACACTGAATCCTGGCCTCTCCCAGCTCCTGGATGTCTGTCCTCTCCCCTTGAGACCTGGTGCTGCCTCTCATCTCCTTTCCTCGCCCTGTTGCAGCTCTTACTTCGGAAAGAAAGTCAAGTCTTCTCAAGTGCCTTGTACAAGGACCCTTATGCATACACTGAAGATTCCCTGAGCACCTGCCCAGAGCCATCTCTCCATCTCCCCATTTCTCACCTCTGCCATGATATGGTTACACTCATGGGCTCCAGACAGCTGGATGTGGGCAGGTGGCCATTATTCTGCCAACCACACTGTCTTATGCTGTTCTCTTAACACCCAGCCTGCCTGGAACTCCTGTTTCATCTCAAGCTCATGGGTTTCACCACACAGCCCCCTGGTAGCAGCACATAAGCCACGGCACTGCCACCAACCTCTGTCTTCATGAGAACAAAGGCAAATGCAGCATGAGCTGTCGCTCCTTGGCCTGTGCAGATGGCAGGTGCTCAGGAACCACCTGAAAAAGGGAAGAGGGGAGGCTGGCTGCAGCCTGGCTTCAGTGACCAGCATTCAGATCCACAGTCTGCTTCCTGACTCGGCCACACTCCATCTCAGGACATCACAGGGTGCTGTATTTGCCACATGAGCCCTGGGTGGAGCAGACCAGGAACTAGTTAGGTAAGTTTGGGGGGGCAAGAAGGCAGAATTAACTCCAAGGACAGCACCAGGAGTCTTCAAAGTCTTCCCAAGGCTCAGCACATGTCCTGGGCTCCTCACTCAACATGTGCTTACCCAGAGCTGTCTCCAATTATGTGTGACTGAATAGGGGCAGTCACAGGCCACCAGCAAGGCGAGCATGGCTCCTGTGGAGGGCGGAGAGAACTCAGGGGACATCAACAGCTGCCACAGAGTGGCTGAAGGGTCCTGGAATAGGCTTGGTTCTGGAGAGTCCTGGGGAGTACCCAGCATATGTGCCACCTCCAGGAAGCAGTGGCCCAGCTCTGAGACCCTGGTCAGTCCACCACAGACATGATCTTGCTGCAGAGACATGTTGGGTGAGCTCTGAGCACCAGAACCTGGGTGAGACAGGTACCCCAGGCTTCTCACGGCATCTGTACTTCACTGTATACACACTGTGTCTTTGTTTCTGGAGGCCTCTTCCCAGGCTTGGGCCATCACCGGCATGTCCCTCTCCCGAAAGTCTCTGGCTCCAGCTTTGAACCCCTAGTTTGGTTCCTGTGTATCATTTCACTCTTCACCTGGTCACTTGCCATCCACACGTGAACAGGCCAACTGTGACCTTCCTATATAGCCCTGGCAGTCACTGCAGTGTCATCTCAGCACCTGCCCTGGCTGGGAATGACTAGTGCATGTCTTGTGCTCCCTAATTATCATCTACTAGTCAAAAGCCACCTGTGCCCTTAGCTGGATCCTTAGAGTCAAGGTCAGCTAATGGCCTGTGCATGGTGGATAGGCAGTGTCCTTACCACCCCCAACAGGAAGCTCCTTCCATTGCCCCATCAGCCTCTCTCATCTCTTCAGACACATAACCAGGCATTGCAGCACTTCTGGCACACCAGTGCCTTATGTAACTCTTCATCCTAAGAAGCCAGTTCAGCTACTCACTTGTGTGGGTGGCAGCAGAAGTCTGGGCCCCATGCAGAGCAAGTACACTCTCCCAGGGTTGACCAGGGGTGGGAGGGGCTGTGAGAGCAAGGCTGCCTGCTGCATGGCCCTACTGGCACTGTCCAAGGCCTTGACTCCTGGCCCAGCCTTGGCACACACAGCAACTACAAGTTTCTCCCAAATCAAGCGTGGTATGTCTCCACTTCCGGGGCCTCCAGTATCCTGTTTTGAATTGCCAGGCAGCCCAAGCAGAAGGCACAGTTCTTGGAAGCCCCAACCCAACCAGCCAAGGGTGAGGTAAAGGGTGTGGCACAGGCAAGAACATGATGTCCCAGAACTCTGGACTGTCACTGCATGGCCAGCATTGTAGACCTGTTCCCCAGGGGGCCAGGCTAACAGCCATGGGCACTGACCCAAGGGCCAAGTTCACATTGGGCCTCTGAGGTCTGCAGATCCTTGTGGGCCTCTGAGGTCTGCAGATCCTTGTTCTTCACTCCTCTCTTCATCCCACATGAAACAGAAGACAGCACCAGCTGCAGGTGGTGATCTGCCTCGCTCCTGCCCCCGGATCCTGTCTGCCATCCCTTCGGACTGTGACAGCTCTAGGGAGCCCTCATTATTATCTAGTGCATTTCTTTGAAAATTTCAGGCAGATAAGCTCATCTCTCTGCTGAGGGGAATGCAGCTTTGCCTCTGCCCTGGGAAGGGGGGTTACCACATGCAAAGGAGCCCAGAGCTTCCTGTGTGAGCAGGGCAGGCAGGTTTTAGGAAGTCAGGGGGATGGGGTCCCATGCCTAGCTCTCCAGATGTGTCTTTGAGTCCTGCCTGCCACTGGAGACAGGTGGCAAGGCAGAGGGTGTCCAAGAGGGTCCCTCTTCCTCTGACTCTCCAGTCTGGAACCTGCGTGACCCGAGACAAACCTCTCCCCTGTGAGAGGGACATCCCAATACTAGGTTGTCCCTGCCTGTCTCAGTGTCCCTGAGCCCCATGTGGTCTACTGAGGTAACATGGACATCCATTCCCAAGCTAGGTCTGCAGTCCTAATCTGACACACTGATCTGCCTCCCCAGAGTCTGACTCATGGCTGTTGTCAGGAACCTGATACATCAACAAAATGGGCATGGCTGGTCTTCCCCAAGCACGGCCCCCACCTGGCATCCCTGCCACCAGACTTTGCCTGTCTATCTTTCTCAACAACCAGAATGTGGGATCAGGTTCTTGGAGCCTTTCCTATTTGCTCAGATGCATGGGAACTTGACAGAGGCTGCTCGCAGGGCACTCCCCAACCAAGTCATGACAGGCTGCAGGCAGGGAGGGGACAGGTACCAAAACCACACCAGTTGAGCCTGCAAGCCAGGTTGAGACATCTTGGAGGATCAGAAACAGCAATTAATGCCTGGGACAGGGGGCAGATCCACACCAGGCTTCTATCCAAGAAACAGGGGGAGATGATGGCCATGGTACCTTGACTGTGTCCAGAGGGTGGCCGACAACAACGCTGGCTGCACCTGTAGATTGAAGAACAGGGCTGGGTCACTCATCCCTGCTCTCCTGGATCATACCTGATGCTCTTAGAACAAGACAGAGAACTCAGTTCCAGGTATCTACTCAGTCAATCAATGGTCTATCACCAGAGGGACCCTCCACGTGAAAGCCACTGGCTCAGGCACCAAGGCATAAAGGAGGGAGTCCAAATGGCCGCCTCCAAGAAGGAAGTAATGCCCCTCCCCACCCTTAAAGAAAACAAAATGGTAGAATACTGGATATTCACAGGCAAAACAATGGAATCAGACATCACCACAAACACTTCATACCATATATAGAAATAATGTCCAACAGATCAAAGGCTTGAGCTAAAGCTATAAAACATTTAGACTAGAACACAGGGAAAAATATTCAACAATCTCTTGATATAATACCAAGAACATACACTGGGAAAGAAACCTATAGAAAAATCAGACTTCTCAAAAATTAAAAATTTTGTGTATCAAAGGATGTTACCAAGAAAGTGAACGGCAGTGGTAAGTGTTGCAGGGCGGCCGATTAGAGTGTTGTTTGGGATGCTCATAGCCCATGTCAGAATGCCTTGGGGAGGGTCCTGCCTCAGCTTCTGATCTAGTTTTCTGCTAATGAAGCTGTGATGGCTCAAGTACTTGAGTCCCTGCCACCTGCATAGGAGACCAGGACTGAGTTACTGGCTCATGGATTTGGCTTTCCCAGCATTGCTTGCTGTGGCCATTCTCCCAGATCCCCACTTTTCCAAATTTTTTTTTTTTTTAGAAAATGAATAAAACTTACAGAATATGAGAAAACATTTTAAAATCATGTTCCCAAAGGACCTGGCAACCCAGAGTAAAAAAAAAAAAAAACAAACACACTGTCAACTAAAGAGGAGAGAAAGAGATGTTTTAAATAATAATTACAGTGAGAGTCTCCTTCACAATCAGTAGGATGACCAGATTTTTCTTTTTTTTTTTAAGGAAACTAACAAGTTTGAGCAGAGCTGTAGAGAACCTGGATCTCATGGCAGTAAGGAAAACTGTCCCCTTAAAACAGACACAGAAAATCTACTTCCTGGTATACACCCAAGAATTGAAAACAAGTGCTCGAACAAGTATTGTGCACATGTGTTCATGGCCAACAAAAGGTACAAATAATCCAAATGTCTGTCAACTGATGCGTGATAAAGCAGTACATAATGTGATATTCTCTAGCCATAGCAAGGAGTTGACGACTGACCCAAGCTACAACAGGAGTCAAGCCCCAAAATCATCACATGAAGTGTAACAGGCCACACACCAAAGGCAACGTGTTGTACACTCCCACTCCAGAGTGGGTAAAGCCGTGAAGTCAGATGCCAGGTTAGTGACTGACAGGGCTGGAAGGAAGGGACAGTGTGGGGGGCTGTTTAATGAGTACAAGAGTGTATTACAGAGTAAACAGAAGTGCCATGAAATGTTAACGAGTTCACTGGAGCCAACAAGGATTTTGGAGTCATGTCAGTCCAAGGAAGAGTTGCAGTCATTCCAAAGGGGACACGTGAGAAGCTTCTACAGGACGGAGCCACAAGGAGAGGGAGACAGCATAGTCACACATCCCTCAGCCAAGGACCATGTTCCAAACAATGTGCCTTTAAGGTGATCTCATAACTGGGCAAGCATTGTGGAGTTTGGTACAGCAATGTGCACGGCAGAGCTGTGTGGTTGGTACGCATGCTTGTGTCTCAGGGAGCAGACAGGTTTCATTGGCTGCAGTACACAGCTGCCTCATTAAGTCTACTTCATTGGAAAGTCTCAAGTTTACATGTTTGTTGGCTTCTCTGATTGGCTGGAAATCAATTCTGCTTTCCTTAATTGAGGAATTTTCAAGAAATGGTTTGAGTTTAACTTGTTCTTGCAAATCAAGCCAGGTCAAGGTCACTGCTGGGCTTTGTCAAGGATTCTCTGGTACCAATCTCCAACATGCTTTACTTTTTTCAAAAATTTATTTATTTATTTATTTATTGGAAAGGTGGATATTATAGAGAGGAGGAGAAACAAAGAGGAAGATCTTCCATCCGATGATTCACTTCCCAAGTGAGTGCAACGGCCAATGCTATGCTGATCCGAAGCCAGGATCCAGGAACTTCTTCTGGGTATCTCACAGGGGTGCAGGGTCCCATCCTCCTACTTTCTCAGGCCACAAGCAGGGAGCTGGATGTGAAGTGGAGCTGCAGGGATTAGAACCAGTGCCCATATGGGATCCCGGGGCGTTCAAGGAGAGGACTTTAGCCGCTAGGTCATGCTGCCGGGCCCCCCAACATGCTTTACTTTAAGAGACACAGGAAAATGTTTCAGAACTGAGCAGAGGTGATGGTTGAATAGTACTGCAAATGTGCAAAATGCCACTGAATCGTGAACTTTAAAACTGCTAATATTTGGGCCTGGCACAATGGTTCAATTGGCTAAAACCTCACCTTGCAAGCGCCAGGATTCTATATGGGTGCTGGTTTGTATCTCGGCTGTTCCACTTCCATCCTTCTCCCTGCTTACGGCCTAGAAAAGCAGCAGAGGATGGCCCAAGGCCTTGGGACTCTGCAACCACATCACAGACCTGGAGGAGGCTCTTGGCTCCTGGTTTCCGATTGGCTCAGCTCTAGCCATTGCAGCCAGTTGGCCATTTGGGGAGTGAGCCAGTGAATGGAAGACCATTCCCTCTGTAACTCTGGTCTACCTTTCCAACAAGAATAAATAAATCTTAAAAAAAAAAAAAACCCAAAAACTAATATGCCTTGCACAGTGGCTCAACAGGCTAATCCTCTGCCTGCCAGTGCTGACATTTATCCCATAAGGCTGCTGGCTCTGGTTCTAGTTCTAGCTGCTCCACTTCTGATGCAGCTCTCTGCTAATGGCCTGGGGAAGCAGTGGAGGATGTTTCAGGTCCTTGGGTCCCTGAACCCATGTGGGAGACCCAGAAGAAGTTCCTGTCTCCTGGCTTTGGATCCGCTCAGATTTGGCCATTGTGGCCAATCAAGGAATGAACCAGTGGATAGAAGATCTCTGTCTCTCCTTCTCTCTGTAAAACTGCCTTTCAAACAGAAATAGATTTTTTAATGTTTATTTTAAAAAAGACTTACATATCTGAAATGAAGTTGCAGAGAAAGAGAGAGACGCCACCCACTGGTTTACTCCCAAAATGGCTGTAATGACAGGAGCCTGGACCAGCCTGAAGCCAGGAGCTGGGAGCTTCTTTTGGGTCTCCCATGTGGGGGCAGGGGTCCAAACAGCTATGCCAACATCTGCTTTCCCAGGTTAATTAGCAGGGATTTGAACTGGTGTCCATACGGGATGCCAGCATTTTAGGCAGCAACTTAACCCACTACAGCACAGCACCAGTCCCTAAAATGGCTAATTTTAGAAGATGTGTATTTCAATTCTAAAGGAGGGGAGGGTGAGAGGAGAAGATCCAGAAGTGTTCTGGTTACCTCCGGGTTAATTTCTTGTTCCTCTTTTTCAGCCTATGTGGAGTGGGGACAACAGCAGCTCTCTCCTCAAGTTTCTGTTGTGAGAATGAAGTTGTGAATGTCCCTGGCAGAGAGCTTTACACCCAAAGGATGCTCACGAGCAGACATGTCACTGCTGAACTGAAGACTCTCTTACAAACGTGATGGACAATGGACCTCATACACGAGGATGCCCAGTCCTACACATGCTCACTGGCCTGTCCCACCTGGAGAGAGGCAAGGCTGCCCAGAGGCCCCTAGATCAAGCCTTGCTGTGAAAGCTGTGGCCTGAGATGGATGGTGTTCTTCCAGGCCAGACGTGCAGGTCACTGATACCTTTGGAGGTGCCTCTGTTAACACAGGTGATTTAACTGGGTAGGGATGGGAGGGAGTCCTGGACTAGGAGACATTTATAGGGGCATCAGCCAATCCCAGAATAACTGGTCCTGTCTTCAGATCTTCTGTTCCCTCTCATCCTTTCCTTCGCCCTGAGAGCTGCAGGCAACAGCAGCCATCGTGTCCTGCAGGCCAAGGTCTTCCTCACAGGGACACTCCCAGGAGGGGAGGAAGGTGTGGTGCTCATCCCGGAAGAGCAGCCTCTGCTCCAGCCACAGGCCAACACTTCCCGGCTCGCTCATTAGCTTTTCCGTATGAAAGCCATGGATTGGAGGTGTTTTGTTCATTTGTTTTACAATAGGGACATCAGTTGACAGTGTACAGACCCCCAAGAGGTTGGGGACTAGTAAAATTGCAAACACAATGTAGAGCATTTAGCAGTGAAATTTGTCAGGCAAGGTCACTGACAAAGCAAACAGCCATGGACAAGGGGGAAGGGACAAGGTTGGCAGAGCTTGGGGCCAGCCTTGGAATTCCCTGGGGCAAGGCAGTGAATTTTGCTGTACCTTGATTTCCTTGTTTGTAAAATGGAGATGCAGTAGTGCCCACTTTGCTGGGGTTGCTGTGATAATTTAATGAATACACATAAAGTGACATGATGGATCATGTGTGGAAGAATCCAATCTATATCACACATCCAGCAGAAGTGGATGTAGACAGCAAGGGGGTGGCTGAGGACGCAGCAGCAGCACTCAGCAGTCGTGAGCATGGGGGACATTACTGGGGGGTAAAAATGTTCTTTGGCTAGTTAAACCAGTCAACAAGGTTGCTAAGAATCATGTAAGTTGTATACCTGAAATAGGTAATGTTATGATATATAAAAATAAACTCTGATAAAGATGGTTTACAAATATACATATGGGGCAGGCATTTGAGGCAGCAGGTAATACCCTGTCAGAGCTCCTAGGTTAAAGTCCCAGCTACTCTGCCTCTGACCTGGCTTCCTGGGGGGTAGCAGGTGATAGTACAAGTACTTGGGTTCCTGCGACTCCTGCCAGAATTCTGGGCTCCTGGCTTTGTCCTGGTGCACTCCTAGCTGTTGCAAGCATTTAAGGAGTGAACCAGTGGTAAGAAGCACTCTCTCTGCTTTCAAACAATAATCTTTACAGAAAGTGTGACACCACCTTTTTC